ATTCTTGGCATTGATTGATACAATAAGAGAAGTTTTACTTGAATACGATGTTTATTTGGGCTGCTTGTAGTTTGCAGTGGCTTGAAGCTGCACTGCATCATACTGAGAGGGTACCAAGGTTTTGGTTACTTTATTTCATAAACGCTCAAGCAATGATTAGCATTCATTATCTTTACCTAATGAAATCGCCCGTGTGAATTCAGAAACATTTCGAACACGGTTGCCAAGTGGTAAGACCTGAAGCATTTTGGGGTGACAACGTCGGTTACCATAGTGATGCAGCCAGCTGAAAAGTTTTGTTCTCATTCAGCGACAGACAAGAGACTAAATTTGAAATTTCTTTGAACTCCCATTCCACAATGATTTCACTTGATGAAGTCTGCAACTGAAACCTGACCAACCTGAACTGTATTTGATAATGAGTTCATGCCGTATTCAACTCCCTCCCATGACATCATTCAATGAGCGCAGCCAGATTATTAAAAGAGGTTTTGTTTAATTCTTCGGTGTCTAACTTTGTGTGCATCTACAGTACTGAATAATGCGTGTGACACCTTAGTGACCACATGGATTTGTTTGTGTGTCTGCATGCGCTTATGTGTCCGACTCTGGCCCTCCCCATCTCTGGAGGCGGCAGGTGTTCCTGTGTCCCCGCAAAAGAGCAGGTTTTTATGTCGCCTCCTCAAGCTAGTGGCTTGGTTGTCATAGCGATGGCTCAACAGAAAGAGGCTTGTGTCTGGGGGCCTGTGCCGGGGAGAAGAGAGGGACAAGGACAAGGGAAGAGGAGAAACGGGGCTTTACGTGCGCCACACACTCGGGACGAGAGTCAAGGAAGCGAAAGAGAGGAAATCAAGTGACTGAGGCACATCAAAAGCCCGGATGGTCGGCTGGCATCATGTCATGTCGGCATCGAATGAGGCTACTGATCACGAGTGATTCTTATCAACCAGCGACAATTGTTGGAACTTTAAAAGGCATCCGATATCACAGGTGATAGATTCCTACCCTCGGATGAGACAGCTGTCTGCTTAGAGACCTCAGGCTTTTCATTCTACCTGTGGCATTGAGCCCCCCCCCCCCCCCCACACACAACCCTTCCAGGTCCAGTCCTCAAACCCGACCCTATTAAGTGGTAGACAGGCCCATAATCAATCTCATCTGTTGTCTGTATGCATATGTCCGCGCGTGCGTATTTGTGTTTGTGCGTGTGTGTAAGGAGATCTGGGAGCGACTGCGAGTCACCTGCCCCTTGTTGGCTTCTTGGGTCTCCCACGGGAGCTTTGTAATTCTCTCTTGGCTGAGCTGATGAGCAGCTGCCACAGGCACACTTACAAAAAACACACACAGGGATACAATCAAACACAGAGACGTTTGCACTCTGATTTAACTGTCTTTTGTCCACTCTTGGAAATTAGTCAAAATGACAGCTGTAGGACATTTTAACTCAAATAACGTGGCTTTTTATGGCCTTTGCCAACGCAAAAGGGCGATGTACTGCTTGTGACTGGTGGTTTGTTCAATTTCAAGATTGCATGAATACTATTGGAGGGGCATTACAAATTGCAACGAACACAAATGAAGAAACGTGTTCTTTGTTTTTTGCTTGTTGGTTGGTCGTTGATTCAGGAGATTCACTGAAACTTTTTAGGAAATATGACTAGAAATGACAAATATGGACACAGTCTCACTCTGATGTGAAAGTCCATCAGAATTCTCTATCTTTGGGTTATTTATCAAAAAGCTTGTTTTAAAAAAAACGAATCTCAATTTATTTCTACACTCCCACGCTTGATGAAAGCACACCGAGTATGGAATATTTTTTGCCCTGCTCACCCTCTGACATTTGGATTTTTTGCCTGTTTTATTGCCGCTTCTCCTCTCTCCTGTGTCCCTTTTATCTTACTCCGACAACAGGTTAAGTGGCGATCATCGAAGTAAGGTTGTTTCTGTAAAGATGGAAAAGGGATCCCTTCAAGTGTGATCCTTTCTCAAGGTTTCTTCCTTTTATTGCCCGAAATAATTTTCCTTTTGTTTTCCTGAACAGCTTTTCTCTGTTTTTTTTTCTGCTTAGACAGAGGGTTTTGGCCGGGGGTTTCGTTGTGGGCCCTTTGAGACTCTGTATTTGATCAAAGGCTGTATAAATAAACTCAACTTGTTTTAAACTGTGATAAAATGTGCAATTTATCTCCTTTAAGATGATGAAGTAGGGCACCACAAAGTTCCAGGATTGATGAATGAATGTTTCGAGGAATGACACCCAAGCAAGCTGCAGATTTGCTTACTTCCACAGCGCAATGTAACTATAAATGTGTGTATATATATATATATACACACACACACACACACACACACACACACACACACACACAGCATGCATCCAATGATGCCTAATATAATGCTGACTGTGAGAAAATGTGCTCACAGCACATTTTTTAAATTACATTTATATAAAATCTCAAGGAGTGGCTCTGTCAAGCAGCATTCCTCCACACGAGGGACGCCAGTGGCAGATTCTCGCAACACAGGGCTGATTTGCCAGACGAGACCTTGCAGCAACTTGCATTGTGATTCATAACTGTGAATGGGAATGTTTTATATTTCTGACACCTTTTGACTGACCATACACACTTTCGCCTTCGCTGGAAACACTTTCCCTTCTTTCAGATCGCAACCTCAGTCAAGTCTCGTTACGGCGATTTATGTACATTTGGACCACATTTCGGATTAGCTTTGAGTTTGTGGTTTGGTTTGGTTTGGTTCCGTCCACTTGAAACAAGACAGACATAATATATCATCCACAATATAATCACCAATTCCAAAGGTTTCACGTGTTCAAAAATAAATGATGAAGATAAAGACGACAGTGTGCTCCCAAACGACTGGCTTGTTCCTCCTTCCTCTCCAGAAAGTGATTCCCTTTCATAAGATAAACACAGACTGTGGAAAGTTGATACAAAATATATTACATTGTCAAACACTGACATGGTAGTTGATGTGGGAAATGATATCCAACACTCATTTTCAGAATGTGTTTGGATAAATGTTTGAAGGTCTCCTCACCACACACAGTGAAAAAAATTGCTTTGTTTTGCAGCCCCAGAAAAGAAGCAATCATGCTAATATATTCCACCCTGGGGATTGCTTTCAAAGCAGATTTCACACAAACAATGATGACAAAAAAAAATCTCAATTTCCACATTTACAGTCAGAGGCTCATTGTTTGCTTTTGTCATTTCCAATTGCAAGTTCATTACATTTGCCTAAAAAGTTGGCCGTTGACTGCCAAGTGTAGAATAACTCAGCATAAGAAATCAATCAGGCAACTTGCTTGTCCTCATCGTCTTTTCCTGGTCTTCTCATACAATAAATGCTTACCAATAGTTATGATAATGCAACTTCCACACTGCAGCTGGCCTTTCATTGAGAAAATCTGACATCAAGTCCTGTCATGTCTCAACTTTGCCCGTCATGATAAGAACCTGTTGGAAAACAAGCCTGCAATATTGATGATGAATCTTACGATCAATGGTAGTTTCCATAATGAACTTGATAGGCCTGTATTCAAGCTAAAAAATAAAAGTATTTATTTCACATTTGTGGAAGGAGGAAACTGCTTTGCTGATTGTGAAATGGTGAAAAACTGGCTCGTGCAATATGACAATTTATGAACATTATGGCATTACATTCCTATGTTACATCCTTTTGTTTATTCATGATTTATCCACCCAGTGACTATTTTTGTTTTTCTAATTTATGGTTGAAATGTAAGGCTACATTCTTCACATTCATCAACACTTTGAGTATATTTACAATCTTTTTTTAATCAGTCTCCCTTGCAGAAGAACTCGGATTCACACCCAAATTCTTTATTTGCTATTCATTTACATTTTAAGCAGTGACCTCCGAATGAACTTAAATGAGTTACTAATTGTATGGCGGCCATATCACATCTTAATTCAAGTCACCGCTGATTTCGGATTGTTTTTTTTAATGTAAACTCTGCGATACAGTACCACTGGCATAAAAGTCTGAGTCAACACTAGCGAGCTCTTGGTTTAAAAAAAAAAAAAAAAAATGAACTGTGTCAAGTTATCAAAACCGGTGTTGTACACAATTGACCTTACTTTTTTTACTTTAAGTTAAGTAAAGGAGTACTTCTGCCTGGAGTGGAATGTGTGTTTGTTTGGTTTTTTTTGACACAGGTATTTTAGGTATATTTTATTTTCGGTACTTTTGCCACCTCTTGTATGGGGTACTATTGACCAAATTAGGCTTGTTACATAACGTACTGTAGTCCAAATGACCACCGGAGCAGAAGAGTCCCCATGTCACAGATCAAGCCCCGGGCCTTGAACCTGACCTCTTTGGGACCATCCAGGTTGAGCACTCCACGTTTCACCCCTGCTGGCTCATTGTTGCCGTCGGAGCTCGTCAATGGCTGCGAGGGGAGATAGATAGTGTGGCCGTCCATCCCAAAAAAAAAAAACCTCCACCCCCCCTGCACCCCCCTCCCTGCACACCCCCGACCCCTGCGGCGCTCCCGAGTTTGACACGAGAGACAAAACCCGCCGGCGAGGAGCACTATGAATGGTAAAGCTCCGAGGAGGCCGAGGGGAGAGCAAAGAGGAGGCGGTGTGCCTTTGTAGTCGGGGAGGAATGCGGAAATGTCCCCGCTCCGTGTCAAACCTCTCTGAAGGGGGTCAGGCCACATTCAGCCGGCGTGGGAAAGCCAGGCAGAGACGCAGCTCACACGGCCGAGCGGGGCTGCTGGTGCATGGGCTTGTTTGGGGGATATATGGAAGGAGGGAAAAAGGGGGGGGGGCGAGAGATTGAGAGAAAGCGGGAAATCTAAAGAGGAGCGTGGCTTTGGAGGGCTTGTATCACGCGTTTGCCTTTGTCCTACGTACCCCACCCCACCCCACTAACAGTTGTAGGCAGTGTGTGTGTGTGTGTGTGTGTGTGTGTGTGT